GCTGGGAATAAAGGGAGCCCCTGTCGCAAAAAGAAAAAAAAAAAAAAAAAAAAAAAAAAACCCAAACCAAACTCCCCGAAGCCTTTTAAGTCAGTCGTGGGTGTCTCATTACTGTAATCCCAGCACTTGGGAGATTGCCTGGTCTACATAGTGAGCTCCAGGCTAGCCTGAGCTCCAGAGTGAGACCCTATCTCACAAAACCAGACCAAACAAGTGGTGTCAGGGTGATGGGGGCGGGGGGGGGGGGGGGCAAGAAGCTGGTTGCCTTTTCTTTTACCCTGGCTGTGAATTAGGCGCGTACCGGCGCTGAGAGCACTGCAGGGACTAACGGGTCTCTTTCTGGAGTGGACAGCTTTAACAGAGGAAGGGAGGGAGTGCACCGGATGGTTTAGGGTTTGGAGGCGTGTGAGGCACACTAGGCATTTCTTGGGCTCATAAATTCAAGAACCAGGGAGAGGCGGCCCAATGTGGGGGGACTGCAGAGGAGGAGGGAGCTGGTGGCGCCCCACGAAGGTAATGGTGGGGAGAAGCTGAAATGGTCCATGTGGGTTGGTGGGTTGGGCAAGGGGTCAGAGGTCGCTCAGGGCTGGGGAAAGGGGATGCCTAGGTTGAATCCGGAACCCAGGCACACGGCCCCACCGCGGAAAGCTGGGGCTCGGGCTCCCCCAAACAGACCCTCACCTGTAAGCTAGACTCAAGCACTCGAAGAGGCGGGTGAGGGTCGGATCGATGCTGCGCGGCCCGAAGTCGGCGACGCCCACCGGCCCCTCCTGGTCGCGTCTCCGGGTCAGAGAGTCACTGTGCGGCGAGGACACCATGAAGTGTCCGCTGTGGATGACCTGTGATCGGTGCAGGCCACCCGCGCTGCGCCGGGGACTCGGCTCTTCCGAGTCTGTATCCCAGTCCGAATCCGGGCTGGGGACGACCCGGGGGATCTGCAAGTTCACGGCTAGATCCGCCAGCGCGCGCGCCATGGTCACCGCGGTCGCCGACTCCCAGCAGTCTGGGGAGCAGCTAGAGTGCCCAGTGTGGCCAGTTGACCTTATTAACATAGCCGCGCCCCTCCCGGGATAGGCCCTCGGGTGGGCGTGGCCTGCCTTAGATTAGTAGAATCAATATGCCAGGTGTGTGGCTGGTTGGTAGTCCTTGGGGTTTCAGTGGGTTTGACTATCTGCTATAGCTACTTTTGAGTCTCTTCTTCATCCAAAAGAACTCTTTTAAAATATTTTGATGTATTTGTTTTATTTCAGGTGTATGAGTGTTTTGCCTGTATGTGTGCAAGTGCACCGTGTGTGTGTGTGTGTGTGTGTGTGTGTGTGTGTGTGTGTGTGTGTTTGAGACAGGGTCTTATACAGTCAGGGCTGGCCGCGTATGCGTGTATTACCTGCATGTAGATAAGTGCACCCATGTTGTGCAATGCCCACGGAGGCCAGAAGAGGAGGTCAGATCCCCTGGGACTGGAGTTACAGCCGGTTGCCACCATGTGGGTGCTGGGAACCCACCTTGGATCCTCTACAAGAGAACCCAGTGCTCTTAACTGCTGAACCATCTCTCCAGTCCCCCGAAAGTTCTTAAAATGGGTTTTCTGGGGCTGTAACTCAGTTGGTAGAGTGCTTGTCTGCCATGAACAAAACCCTGAGTTCCATTATCTGTCCCATTATAAACTGAAGATGATGGCACACACTTGCCATCCCAGCACTGGGGAGGTAGAAGCACAAGATCACAAGTTCAAGGTCATTCTCAGCTATGTAGTGAGTTCAGATGCCCCTCACCTGCCTCTCCCCACTTCTCAGGAGTCCTATGTGGTTGACAGAACACCTCTAAGGTTAGTTGGTACCCTTGACCTCTAGGATTGTCCTACACCCATGCAGCAAGGTTCAGAAGAAGCCCCTGAGTGTCCACTCTACCTTGGACCCCCCCTCCCCCATCCCTAGACACTCACAGGCAGACGGTCTATGGGGACGGGGAGCGGGGATGTCTTCCACTGACCCGGGGAGGGGGGATGTCTTCCACTGACCCTGACGTCTGGCTTTTATTCCTGTTTCTTAGCAGGCTGGGCATTCATACTTTTCACCGAGCTGAAACAGTTAACAGTCCTTTTCTAAGGCAACAGTCTAGGGATGTGGCTCAGTAGTAGAGTGCTTGCCTAGTATGCACAAAGCCCTGAGTTGGATTCCCCAGCCCTGAAAAAAATAAATTCATTTCTAAAGCACGCAGAAATGATACATATCCAAGTATCTCGGAGTCTGGCCTGGATTTCTAGATGTTGGGGCAAAGTCTGCTTTAAGTGCCACAACTTCCCTAGCATGTCTTATGTGCTCAGGGGAAAATCTCCAAGTTCTAGAGACCAGTTCATGAGCTAGGTCTGAGTGGGTTAGATGGCTCTACATCACCATGCATCTTCGGTTCTCCCAATCATCAATTACTATTCAACAGTCTCATTTTTACCTTGCATCTGCTTCCTAGGCCCTAGTCACCTTTGGAAACCTCAGCAGTAGAAAGACAGGCCTGCCTAAAAAACCCACAACACTGTAAGCCTGGTAGAAGCAAGAGGACAAACGAAAGTTCAAGGCCAGCCTAGTCTACATAGAAAGTTCCAGGCCAGGGCTGGGTCTGTAGCCCAGTTGGCACAGCGCTTGCCTAGCCTGTAGGAAGCCCTGGGTTCCTTCCCCAGCACTACATAAACCTGGTGTTGTGCACACTTGTAATTCTAGTACTCAGGAGATGAAGGCAGGAGGGGAGATGGGGGCAGGAGGATCAGGAATTCAAGATCATCCTTGGCCACACAGCAAATTTGAGGTCAGCCTGGGGCTACACAGTAAGACCCTGTCTCACAAAAACAAAACAGAGATGGCTCAGTGGGGGATATGCTTTCTGCCAAGCCTGATGACCTGAGTTCAATCCTTGGAACCCACATGGTGGAAGGAGCGAACCAACTTCTGCAAGTTGTCCTCTGACCTACACCCATGCATGCAGTTGTCACATTCTCTGTCTCTCTCTCTGTCTGTCTGTCTCTCTCTCTCATAAGTAAACAAGCAAATAAATAAATCGTTTTTTATTTTTTATTTTGAGACAGGGTTTCCTTGTAGCACCAGCTGGCCTGGAACTCACCATATAGACCAGGTTGGCCTCGAACCCACAGAGATCCTCCTGCTTCTGCCTCCAAGTGCTGGGATTAAAGGCATGCATGACCATGCCTGACATAAATAAATCTTTTTTAAAAGACAAAAAAAAAAAAAAAAACCACTGTCGTGTGCAGTAAATGCAAGAATGTCCCCAAATTTTGATTTTTTTTTTCTGTGATGACGTGACATAATGCCTGTGCCCAAATGACATGGTATGAGCTGGCCTGGCTCACCTCTCACTGCCTTTCCTACCTGCCCTTTAGTACCCGATGTGCAGGGTTCATGGCCCCTTAGATAAACAAGTTTGGTTCACGGTCCACAGAGATTTCAGGACAAGATCCTGACTGGGATGTGGAGACCCAGTTGTCCCCAGAGATCCTGCCTGACACAATGTCCCCCCTGCCTCCCAGTCTTGACTTTCAAGATTCCTCCCCAGACTGCTCATCTTTGAATGCCACCTCCAGGCTGATACTGGAGTCCCACACCCTTGTTCAGTCAATGCAAGTCTAACATCCTTTTGCTCTGGGTTCACAGAGGGTGTGCAGGGCTTGCTTCCCCACCAGGTGGCAAATTACCTGGAAGAAACAAGAGTCTATTTCTCTCTATTAGCCCATGTCCTCAAGTGCAAATGTATACATGGGTATTTGAAAATGGACAGGGCCTGGATTTCATAGAGAGCTACCTGCCTCTGCCTCCTGAGTGCTGGGATTAAAGCGTATACCACCTCACTGAACCAAATGGATGAGTTTATGTTACATTTATCTACTAGATATGTTGTGTCCATCAGTGCATCTGTGAGAAATCTATACATCTATATATCTGTCATCTATCATCTATGTATCTATCAATCAATCATCTATACCATTCAGCCACTTGCCCTGTATCTAGTATTTATCCATCCATCTATCCATCATGTATCTATCAAGTTATCCATCAACATTTCATTTATCCATTTATCATCTATCTTTACATCTTTGTCCATTTTTTCCACCCAACTACTCATCTACACATCCATCTGTACATAATATGTCCATTTGTGCATCTACTAATCAATCCATCCATTATTTATCTATCCATCTCTCTATCCACACATCTGTCCATCTATTATCCATCCATTTATCTATCCATGCATGCATCCATCTATCCAACATCCATCTATCTATCTATCTATCTATCTATCTATCTATCATCTATCTATCATCTATCTTATCATCTATCATCATCTATCTATCATCTATAAATCTATCATCTTCCTACCTACCCATCTATCTATCCATCCATCTACCTGTTATCTTTTTCTGTTACTGTGATAAAATATCCTAATAAAAGCAATTTAAAGGCTGGGCATGGTGGTGCTCCCCTTTAATCCCAGCACTCACAAGGTAGAAGCAGGCAGATCTCAGTGAGATCCAGGCTAGCCTGGTCTACATAGAAAGTTCCAGGCCAGCTGGAGATTTAGGGAGACCCTGTCTCCAAAGGATGAAAATAAAATTAAATAAATGGGCTGGCAAGATGGCTGAGTGGGCAAAGGTACTTGCTGCCAAGACTGACAACCTGAATTTGATTCCTCGGACCCACATGGTGGAAGGAGAGAACTGACTCCTACAAGCTGTCAGCTGTCCTCTGACCACCATATACACCATGACATTCACATGTCCACGCATATACACAAACACACAAAATAAATAAAATAAAAATGTAATTTTTTTTTGTCTTTTTGAGACAGGGTCTCCCTGTAGCCACAGATGACCTGAAACTTGCTATTGAGACCAGGCTGGCTTCTATCTCACAGAAATCCATCTACCTCTGCCTCCCAAGTGTGAGAATTAGAGGCATGAGCCACCACACCTAGCATAAAAATGTAATTTAAGGGACTGGAGAGTTGACTCCGTGGTTAAGAGCACTGGCTGCTCTTGCAAAGTACCCAGGTTCAATTCCCAGCACCCACATGGCAGCTAACAACCTTTTAAACTCTAGTTCCAGGGGAATTCGATGCTCTCATCTGAACTTCCTTGGGCATTGCATGACACGGGTGCTCTTATGTACATACAGACAATACACTCATATACACAAAATAAAAATAATAAATAAAATGGGGCTGGAGAGACGGCTCTGCGGTTAAGAGCACTGGCTTCTCTTCCAAGGACCTGGGTTCAATTCTCAGCACCCACATGGTGGCAAGCAAGCATCCATCCCTCCAGTTCCTGGAGATCCAATGCCTTCTCATCTCTTCCAGCATTGCAGGCAAATACTCATACATATTTAAAATTTCTATAAATTTTTTAAAATGATAAAAAAATCTTTTAAAAATATAATTTAAAGATGAACT